GAAGCACTTCAGACGTCAGCGACGGAGCGGCGCGCGCCGAATTGGACTGGAACGCCACTAGGCTAGGTCTGCTTTCGGCCGCGTACGCAACGTGCAGGTGTGCTATGGGCGATGGGCCCAGACCCCTGTGCGCTTAGGTTTAGACCGGCGTGCTGGCCTCTCTGTTTTGCCTAGGTGGGGCTGCGACGTGTTGATCTTCCGAGGCCGGGCATGACCCAGGAAAGTGTGTCCGGCCAAATGGGATCGAGCGTGTTGGGTTATGTGGTGCACCCCTGCAGGGAAGTTAATCTATTCGAATAGCCGTGATCTTCGGTAACAGGACGACTTGGAGTTGTACATTGACCTTATGACAACTAGAACCGGATACTTAATAAAACACACCCTTCCAAGTGCCAGATACAACCGGTGGTCGCTCTACCTCAGGGATATGAGGAGGGGATCGCCGGGTAGGATTATGCTATGAGATGTTACTTGGAGATGCTACTTGGAGGACTTCAACCTACTCTCTCCTACATGCTGCAAGACGGAGGCTGCCAGAAGCGTAGACTTCGACAGGATTAGCTACCCCCCTCTTATTCTGGCATTCTGCAGTTCAGTCCACTGATATGGCCTCCTTACACATATACCCATGCATATGTAGTGTAGCTCCTTGCTTGCGAGTACTTTGGATGAGTACTCACGGTTGCTTTTCTCCCTCTTTTCCCCTTTCCCTTCTACCTGGTTGTCGCAACCAGATGCTGGAGCCCTGGAGCCAGACGCCACCGTCGGCGACGACGCCTACTACACCGGAGGTGCCTACTACTACTTGCAGCCCGCTGACGACGTCCAGGAGTAGTTAGGAGGATCCCAGGCAGGAGGCCTGCGCCTCTTTCGATCTGTATCCCAGTTTGTGCTAGCCATCTTATGGCACCCTGTTTAACTTATGTCTGTACTCAGATATTGTTGCTTCCGCTGACTCGTCTATGATCGAGCACTTGTATTCGAGCCCTCGAGGCCCCTGGCTTGTATTATGATGCTTGTATGACTTATTTTATTTGTAGAGTTGTGTTGTGATATCTTCCCGTGAGTCCCTGATCTGGATCGTACACATTTGCGTGCATGATTAGTGTACGATTAAATCGGGGGCGTCACACATATAATAAATATCAAGGTACAAGCCACACAGAAATCGACTAGACAAAATTGAAAAGACAAGGAAACACTAGCCTTTGCAGAAATGACAACCAACCAAGAAAGAAAATTACAATCAAGACTGATGACTCCCTTAAGCTTGACTCCAATGCCAGTCACCTACCTCTAACATCACCACAATAGCCACCAAAGAAGAAAGTAACCACCTCTTCACTTGAGCTTGACGCGGCTTCATCGTTGATATGCTACTTTTCGGATAACCAAAATAGCTTGCCAAAGGTGAAGCCAAGGTTATGAGAATCGAAAATTTTAATATGATTGGAGCTTCGATGGTAGGATTGCAAATCGAAATTCTAACTAGCAGGATTGTAGAAGCGTAGATTCTATGAACTAAAATCGTAGAATCAGAGTGGCTAGTTTGGATCGTAAAGTCGCAGGATCGTACACTATAATCATGATTCGGACAACCTTGGGTGAAGCCATTGCCTTTGAAATATATTGACCGGGACAAAACCCCAGACACGCCATCAAATTTCAGATCTGACCCTCCCCCCTCGACTAAGACGACGGAGGAGGAAATCATAACTTCCAACCATGAACCCAACACACGATCCACCATCTTTCAGATGTCGCTGAAGCAGAACACAATCCACATCCGCTCCTGGACAACCTCCTAAGCTCCACGTGGTGTTGGAGCAAATATCGTCGCAACGACGGAGCTCGAGGACACAAGTCCACCACAAGGATGCTGCCTCCACACTATCCTTACTTGAACATACTAGTTTTCAAGTCCATCCCCACCATAGAGTCAATTGCCTCGTCAAGGAAGAATCTGAAGCTTCTTTATTCAGCGTCGCTATAGTCATCGCCAAACCCAAGACGCCGAACAACCCTAAAACCTAAAGCTACACGATCCTCACACATGGATCCGACAACCTCCCTCGCCATTGACGAATGAAAGGTCGTCGTCTGAGGGGAGCCGCCGAAGGACGGCGGCAGAAAGCTACTCGCCTGGGCCGAGATCACTTTTCTTCCATTCCTCTTGAAGAAAGAAAACGGGTTCGCTCGGAGTAAGGAGATAAATATCAAAATATTTTATTTTCATGTTGTCCTATATTTGTCAAGAGTGCAAATGCATACAATTTATTAGTATGGATTAGTGTAAAACTATCATAATGATTGCTTCAATAAAGACATGATGCTCGCGTTTCAACACTTCGTTGACGGATAATAAGTTTCCATTTGGCAAACTGAGCGTAGATCAGATGGTTAGTTTAACAGGGTTCAAGTTCTCGATTTGACATTGACAGTCGCATTTTTCTGATTTATTCCAGGCCTTCCGCAACGACCATGTGCATTCAGTAGGAGAAGATGTTCCCGTCGATTACGACGGTATTTTTGGTGACTTCGTCAATCTTAACATAATGTGCCGGCTCAGTCTTTCGGAGGTGTCAATAAGGATAGAATGTGCATGCGTACCTTCTTGTAAGGTGAGCAGATGTGTGTATGTACCGTGTTAGGAAAAAGTTTCCATTTGGTCCCGTGACATAGCGTTTTGTTTTGTTCTTCTTATTAAAAGCAGACCTTGACTTTGGCTAAAACCCGAATTTGACTTCACAACGGAGCTCACTCACAAGTTTAGCAGCTGAGCAAATCCGACTTGGACGGCATACTCTATGCATATTTCGACGGTTGAACCATCAAGACTTCAGGAGAGGCGCACCTGAGAACTCGAGACCTAATTTCTTGGTTCTTTGCGGGGAGAAGATCCAATTTGACACCACGCCGCGCATGAAACACGGTACTATATTCTAACGTGTACCGACCGAGTGTTTCTATATTCTGTTCTCTTGGGTGGTTGAAGTGCCGAACCATCTGCTCCAACTAGCGCTAAACACACACTCGTTTTTGCGCCAGCCGGAGACAATCGGGTACAGTGAGAACCAAATAATGTAAGAACGTGCTGACACCCCGTCCACTCCGGTGGTCTTATTCGTGGTCACCACGTCGCAGTGGACGTCCCTGTACTCGTTTCCTGTGAGAAAGGACAAGCCCCGGGGTCCGGGTGTCGTCGCCGCCGCAACGAGCCGAAGCCCCGAGGGATGCCGACCATGCACCGCCGCAAGGGGGGCATCGGGAGCCGCCAGACCGAGACCGCGCGCAGCAGCACCGTCCCATATGCCCAATTGCCCATATCTGCATGTAGCCGTAGCATCATCATCCTTTCGAGGAAAAGTCGAACGTTGTTGGCGTGCACGCCTGGAGGAGGCTACGGCCTACGAGCACGACCAGGCGGAGGCGCGCACCGGCCAAAGGCCCTGAGAGGCGGCGCGCACTGTGGGCCGGAGCGAGACCGGTTCCGCATCTCCCAACAGCGGCCGCCCCGCCGCGGCGTGGGCGACAGATGGACGGATGGATGGATGGACGCGGCCGAACTCGTGCCCCATGCGCACAGTGAGTGGCCAGAGGAGGAGCTCCGACGGAAAAAACAACGCCCGCGTCGCTGTCGGGGCAGCGGCATCGGCGGACGCGTGCGTGCCCGGGAGGAGACTTGCTTGCTTGACCCGGCCTAGCAGCACCAGCAGTCCCCATGTGCGTTCCCATTCACCAAGCAGGGACGGAAAGCCATGCCCGTCCTGTCCGTTTCGTTGCGCCAGATTCTTCCCTGGAAAACACAGCTTCTGTGTTTGGGCCGTCCTCTATAATTGTTTTCAGAGGCCCCTACTATATCTAACCTGCGAGAATCAGATTCTCTCAAAACTAGGAGTACGACCGTTGTGGTTTTTCCTCTTATGTTTGTCCTATGTATTTGCATGTGCACTGAAATTGGTCTTCAGTTTCACACGCACAAATCGAGGTTGTCACCGTTCAGCATCACCGCTCCGTCGGTCGGTGGCAGGGAGAGGAAAACCAGCGCCTCTGCTTCAGTTAGTAGTTTAGATTAGGGTTTTAAGTCCTCGTAGGATCGGCGCTCGGCCGGACGTACGATGGTGCTTCTTCTTTGAGTTTGTCTTTCAGGCATCGATCCTCCTCGAATTCGTTTGTCTGGACGTAGACGGTGCTCCGGCATTGATTCATTTCGTCTTCTTTTGGTGACGAGGTTAGGATTTCTCATCATGTGGCAAGATTTTGTGCGAGGTGCTTCAGAACTATGCAACGGTTCAACGGCGACAACTGCGGCTCCAGGACGTTGGTCCTTAGGGGCACGTGCACGAAGACTTCTCAACGTCATCCACAAGGTCAGGCCGGCTCTCCTAGGGGAGCCGCAACAAGGGTGCATCGGCGGCTCATTCTGACGGCAATAGTGGTCGTTTGGTAGTTTCAAAATCTTGATGTAATTTTTTATTATATTTGAGATGATTTGTACTTACAGTGAACTTTTATAATAGATGTGACGTTTTACGCCAAAAAAAACAAACAACACACACTTCGCACAACATCTCAACTCATATTATTTTTAAGTTTCAATTTAAATTTAAAAATAGCGTATCCCGCAAATGCATCAACAAAACATGAACCATCATAGCAAAGTTCAATCAAAAGAAAATCATCATGCACACATTGAACCAACATAAAAAAGATCACATGACATCGACATCACCACTCGGTCCATCATTGTGCATCACACACTCCATGCAATCCTAGATGTCAGGATCTCCGGTCACCCAATCTTTCAAAATATACTCCATCAATGGCATTTGGGTCCATCATCATGAGCAGGTTATCCTTAGCCACAATCTCTTGCTTCAATTGGTTCTTCTCGAATTGAAGCCTACGCTTCTCCATCTTGGTCTTGCGCCTCTTACGTATTGTTGTTCACCTCTTGCCGTCCTAACTTCTCTTGTTGCTTCCTCTCCCCCAAGTCTATCTTATTGAATTGCTTGAGCTACCATCTCTTTCTTTGCATTGATCGACTTATCAATCTTGTCTTTCACGGCCGCCACCTCTCCTTGTCGCATGAGCATCTCATTCGATCTCTTCCTCCAGTCAGGCTGCCCCTTACTTGATCCACCCCTATGCCTCCTCTCATCTGCATCACCATAATGTTCACACTCCAGAAGAATGAGGTAGTTGACCTCGATTTCTTCGGAGGACCATTCTCGTTCCTCATCATCCACTTCTCAATGTTCTTGAGCTTTGTCTAACAATGTTGGGGGACAAATGGTTTTCCCTTTCACTTGGCCATTTGCTTTTACCTCTCTTGGGATATCCACTCCTCCAATGTACAAATCCAAGATGATTTTGTTCTCGAAGGTAAATGCAAATATGTGGAAAATATGTTGTTGACATAGATGAGAAGTGCTCACATAGTTATAAATGGTGGCACAAGTAGGAAGCACGTTCCTCACTTGCTCCAAACAACCCGCACATCGATTGCAATCTCAAGGATCATACCCCCAATGACTTGTAAGGGATCCTTGTGAACGGTTAGACGGATGCGGAACTTGATCATGGTACCATTTATTGATGCGCCTCCAATAATTTACATTGTGTTTGATCATTTCCAGTGACCGCATCAAGTGACACATGCTCCCATGCCAACGCCAAAGGTATGTCTTCTCCATTGGTGTAGTTTGTTTGTCTGCATGCTCTCTTCGATGCTTATGAGGCATAGAATTCGTTCAATTTTGTTTCTTTCATCACTTCATCTATTTTCCCAAAATGCTCAACCAACATCTCTAGAGAGAAGTCTTGATGAGTTTCTCTCGACTAGTCATTCATTCAAAATGAATCATGCTGAAGAAGGATGGCGTAGGGATCGACGATCCTACCAAACGGATAATCCATCACTAAATAAAAAGAGTGCACAATTGCCACTTTGTTCGAATGCAACCAGTCACATTTCTACCATTGAACCTAAAAATCAAAGTACAAAGGGAAACCATTTTTTATCAACTTGACATTTCGCTGAACACGTGCTTGGTCTCGGCGTTCATCATCATCTGTTAGACAGTTGGGTTAGAGGGATGTATGGAGGAGGGGTAGACACGACGGATGGGGTTGGGGCGTTCACCTTCTTGTTTCGGTTCATCGTGCCCTTTGCCTAGAGTGCCCGACCGGCGCTACCTTACAATGGCGGTGGGGGAGGGGGCTCATAGGATGGAGTCGGTGTTGGGGTGTCCCGAGCGACGGGGCCGATGTCCCGAGCGTCAGAGTCATCGGTTGAGGCAGTGCGACAATTGCAGTGACGTAGCGGGCAAGAAGAAAGAGTGGGAGAGGAAATATCGCTAGCGCCAAAACTCTTCAGGATAGAGTGCGCTGCAGGCTAACGGCAACGATTTGAAGTTCCCTTCAAATAATTTAGGGAGTTCGCTTTAGAGAATCCGCTAGTGCAATTTTACAGTAGTTCTTTATAATAGCAGTTTATTTTTATCTTCTTGGGAATCTGCTAAAGTTGCGCCCTTATCTGGTGATGAATGTCACGGTTTTCGGAGAAAAATGATGGTTGTCTGTATGTGTATTCAGGTACCCAGGAAAGATGCAGAGAGTGCATGCTACAACAGGCATGCCGAGGATACTGAAGACATATATGCCTAGTTTACAACATGGAAATTAGTCAAATGTACAGCACAACTCATCATCTCTAACCACAGCGTTTACAAAATTTTCACTAGCAGGTATGGGCGACAACAACATATGGAACTCATGAAATCCAGAAATGTACATAACTGTTATGTACATTTACCAAACACGTAATCAGCCTTTAGAGTACACACGGCGTCAAAAACCACCAAGCCCTTGTCATATTTGGAAGGGAAACCAGGGTCAAACGTGATCTGAAAGAACCGACGCAGAAATCCTCTTCAAGGATGAACACACTTTGGAGATGTCAGATTCAGTGTGACCAGCTGAAACGAACAGCCGGATTCCGACGGGGAGCTTGCATCTGTCCAGAGTTGACCTCTTCGACGCCACAATGAAAACGGAATCTTCCTTCAAAACCTGTTGGAGGAAAGGCGTGTGAATGTGTGGGCTTATGGAAGTTGATGTAAACTGCACCTGGAAGTCTAATCTGAGTCCGTCTGGACTTACCTGCTCGGCAATGGTTTCAAGAAGATCTAGGTCAGTGGCCAGAGAACCAGTCGATTTCTTCAGCTTAAGGAAGACGATCGGTGACAGGGCATGGCTAGAAATCTCAAGTCCTGGTGCATCTGACAGTCCTGTGATGAAATACATAAAAGGAATCAAGGTGGTGACCAGAAGCAGCTAGCTAACAAACATGTTGTGGCATGCCTTACTGTTCACACATATATCTAATTCCACAACTAGCAGTTAAATGCCAAGAGAAACATCTTTACCTGCATGCAGAAGCGCAACATTGCTCCTTAGGTTAGCGAGAACTGAAGGATTCTCCTCCAGGTAGTTTACAGCAGAAACTGCGGCACTGGCAAGATAGGGTGGCAGAGAGGCAGAGAAAACATAGCCAGCGCTGCTTAGACGCTGCAAAAATGGAACTCCTTGGTCATTCAAAGCTCAAAATATTTAACACAGTTCTGTTTATATCAATCGATGTTCCACTAATCTGAAATTGCATCTACCTGATGATCAACAACTCTAGCACTTCCTGTACAGAACCCACCATCAGTAGCTAATGCATTTCCCATTCCAGCAGTGATGATATCAATTTTGTCAATCTGCACAATGCAAGGAAAATCTCAGAAATAGAAAGAACATGGCAAGAAGTATACAGCTCTTCAGTGCTGCAGCAAAGTTTTTTCTTTAACACTTGGAATAAACACCAAGCACTCACCGGTACACCATAATGTTCGGCAAGGCCCCGCCCAGACTTGCCGAGCACACCAAACGAATGAGACTCCTCCAGAATAACACGGAACAGATACTTCTCCTTCAATTTGACTATCTCATCCAAGGGGGCGATTTGACCAGAATTCTGCAGTCACCACGAGAGGGGGTTTCATCCGAAGGTTATATCTAAAATATTTCATGCGTTTACAATCAAGATAAATATTTAATGTTGAAAACCTCCACAATAAGAAAAAACCTACACTTATCTAACAGAAAACAACCACAAAAGGCAGCACACCTGGTAGATAGATTCCACAACAATGTAGCGTCTAATCTTCTCGGTCCGTTTGTTTCCACGAGTAAGTTTTTCCAAAGTGCTAGCGAGTGAAGCCATATCATTATGCTTGAAATAAACAACGGTACTTCTCGATAGATAGAGACCATTTTGCACTGCCCAGTGAACACCCTCATCACTGCAATGCACATAGAAAACTTGCTTCAGTTTAACTTGAAAAAAGGATATTCAGTGCAAAGTATTAGTGACGTATAAGGTGTAAAACTGAAAAAGCAAGAACAATGGTGCCTGAAGGTACTATGCTATTTTCATATATATAAATATATTCTCAAAACAGGAAAGTGAAGGTTGACTCACGCCACTATGATATCTCCTTTCTTACAAAATGCAGGTATAACACTGAATATGGTCGATATCCCATATGAATACAGAATGGAGTCCGGTGTTCCCAGGAAATTGGCTATTTTTGCTTCACAGTCAAGGTGGACATCTGCAAGTGTTCGACATAAGAAAGTCAACTCCTTCATATTTGCAATAGAGGTAATTGGCTATGAACATGAACAAAGAATATACAAACCAATTGTTCCATAGAAGCCACGTGGACCACAGGATCCAACACCATATTTCTCCAATGAACCAACACAAGAATCCTACAATTCACTCATATCGATCAGAAATTCCAGACTAGTATATAGCTGACAAACATTGAGTTTTCTCTTACAATAATTTTCTCGTTGCCAATTAAACCAAGGTAGTTCGCTGATGCAAAGTTTACAACTTCTTTCCCCTCAATGGTCGTGTGTGGTCCAGCAGCACTGTATCAAAAAAATACAGATAGCAGTGTTACTTATGGCCCTCGGAAGTCAGGACTGATTACATATCCCCCACAAATAAAGGACAGAATATAGATGCCCAGCAACTACACACATCCTGTAATTGTGACTTGCTCGTGTTGTAAATATTTACATTTCATATTCCATGGATCAAAGCAAATGGATCTAGAATAGATTGACAACCACATACAAAAAATCTCTAGAATGGTAGCTGCCAATGGTTTTCTAAAAAAAATATCTGCCAATGGTGAGCTTAAATCAAACAAAATGATATCATTTGCAGATACTACTGTGAGAGGTTCTCTTCCACTGTTTTTATTTCATTTGTTCTGCCAATGGTGAGCTTAAATCAAACAAAATGATATCATTTGCAAACACTACTGTGAGAGGTTCTCTTCCACTGTTTTTATTTCTTTTGTAAATACTTAAACAGTAACCAATATTCTATAGTAGGAAGTACTTCAGGCAGAGCAATGCTAACGCCAGGGAGTTTACAGTTATTCATCAAATTTATAGGAGTGCACACTGGTTACGCTTCCTTGTAATCGCAAAGACATAAACAGAAAATACATTAAAAAGAATACCACTCCAATTAACAAATCAATAAGCCACACAGACCTTTCCAAGATTGGTGGGTCAATGTGGGACTCCTCCTTGATTGGGGGACATAAAGGTTCTGGTTCCCATTCATCACATAGCTCATCAACCTCCTGCGGAGATTAAAATGCAAACTGTTACCCAAATATTTCATGAAGGGACAACAAAAACCAATAGTTATTACTCCCTCCGTTCCAAAATAGATGACTCAACTTTGTACTAACTTGAACAAACTGCGAACAAAGTACAAAAACCACTCAACCTTTTCGCTAAGTGGCTTCTTTGGAGGTTTGTAGCTCTTCCTGGAAAGCTGAAACACTATGACGGCAATAAGAAGTCCTTCCACAACCAAGTGACCTGAATCAATGACACCGCCTCAAAATGTCAAAAACTATACCAGCACCATCATGAAATCACACATTATTTGTTGATGGGTAGAAGAGGATTACCATCGATATGAACCCCGAAGACGACAGCACGGGCAAGAGGAGCGTTGAATGCAGCTGAGACACGAGCAAGCGCTGCCGTGGTGGCATTCACAATCGGCAATGCCATGTCCATGTCCCAGCTCTATGGCAAAGCCTTTTCCAACAAAGGGTAACCTCAGCCTTTCAAATCTGCCAAACAAACAACGCTCCTTTCCTCAATCAACCAGATCGGTCAAAGAAAAGCAGAATCTAGTACGGGAACACACACAAAACTGATCCCAAAGATCGAACAGACACATAAGGCGTCATGTTTAACCCGGGTTATTTTTACAACAGGTACAGTAAGAAGTCACGCGCTTGGATCCAATCTGAGGGCGAACTCGTCCCAATAAAGCTCTTAACTTTCCCACTTTCTGCACGCTCCTAGTAAAATCCAAATCTCACCCGCATCGAGGGACATGGGCAGCGAGATAAGGTTCAATGAAGGCCTTGCCTATGCGGCCCCAAACAAACCCGGATGGCCGCTGCCGGCGGCGGAGATCTCAGAGGAGAGGATGCCGCGTTTCGTTTCGTTTGGTTGGGAGGAAATTGGACTAATGAACACCAATCTTCAAAAGAAAACCCATCTTACCTCCGGCAAAGAGCCATTGTCGTCCTCGCGAATCCCCAGAACTCGAAATTCTAAATTCCAATGGAAGAGAAGAGGGAACATGAGCTCTCCTCACCTGGGACACCCTAACCCGATGCGCCGGACGGCGGTGCTCGTGCTGATTACCAGGTGCCAGCACCAGCGCAGGATCGCAGCCCCGCAATGGATGGCAGCACGGGGTTAACAGAGCAGAGGGGGGCGAGGGATTCGGAGAAAGTCAGTGCTGGAGAGAGACGACGACGATGAGGAATAGAATACGGAGGGAGGAGGAGATGGGTTGGGTTTTGTTTGAGTGGGCTTGTGTTCGGGCGGCGGTCGGTCGGTCATCTTTGGCTGGCTGGGCTGTGTCTATACTTTTCGGCCGGCCAGCGCGTTAATAATGAGGAAGATTCAAGGCTCTCGGTTATCCGCGTGCTATATGTTTCGCTGGGCTCCCGTCGACCTCACCTCTGCATCCGCGGCCGGCCCTCTGCCTCGCCTCCCCCGAGATGCAGATCGAAAGAAACGAAAAAAGAAGCAGCGCCGGCGGCGGCGGTGGCGGTGGCGGCGGCAAAGTGAGAAGATGACGGAAGTACCTGTCGGTGGCTGGACTGGGGGAAGCCAGGTCGTTGGCGTCGGGCGGGTCGGTGACGCCTCCGGATCCGCTCTGGCCGTCTGGGACTCTGGGTAGGTGGGCAGCTCTTTCGGGGGGATCTGGTTTTCGGGGGGCAGAAACAAACGGACATATGAGCGGGTCAAGTCGTGGCCATCCGAAACGCGGAAGGAGGGAGGGAAGGTTCCGTTCCCCTTCTCCCTCGCTCGAACTCGACGGCGCCACCGCCACCGCCGTCCCCTTCCGGCACCATGTCCATGCCCAAGGGGGACATGGGCATGGCGGCCGCGAGGCTCACGGACGACCTCCTCGTGGAGATCCTCGCGCGCGTGCCCGCCAAATCGCTCGCCCGCTTCAAGTGCGTCTCCAGGCACTGGCTGAGCCTCACCTTCCACCGCAGCCACCGCAGGAGGCTCCCCCAGACGCTGTCCGGCTTCTTCTACAGCAGCACCGGCGGGGAGTGCTTCCTGGAGTCACCTGTCCAGTTCACCAGCGTCGGGGGCAGCCGCCGCCCTCTGGTCCGCACCTCTTTGGCGTTCCTCCCCAGCCACCGGCGCGTCGACCTCCAGGACTGCTGCAACGGCCTCCTCCTCTGCCGCTGGTACCACGTCTCTGCCCGTGGCGACGAGTCCCGTTACGTCGTGTGCAACCCCGCCACGGAGAAGTGGGTCGTCTTGCCGGACTCCGGCCAGGCGGGCGAGGTGGGCGCCGCTCGTATGGGCTTCGACCAGGCCGTATTCTAGATGGCGGTCATATTCAGCAGTCACAGGGTCGCCTGCATTATGCCAATTTTCATCAAGATGAAGATGGCCGTGTGGTTCGACTAGCAGTTCATGTTCTCGAGGACTATGACAGCAAAGAATGGATATTGAAGCATAGCGTTGAAACTTCATATTTATCCGGAGGAACGCATGTTCTTGGCCTTAATGTGGACTTCCATTTGATTGCGGTTCATCCGGAATGTAACTTGATATTTTTCACTGTGGGGCGGGATACCACCTTCATGTGCTATAATATGGGAGTAAATTGCAGAAAACCATCAGTTTGAGGGCTAGGTTAGCAGAAATCACTACATTACAGTTTCTTGGCAAAAAACACCAACTCTCTCGTAAACAATTTTGCAAATACCACTGATCGGACACCGATAAGTGGATTTATGACAGGTGGGGCCCGGTTTTTGCCGACGTGGCGCTGTCAGCTGGTCCGACAGCCGTTAGACGCCGTTAGACGGCGCCGTTCATTCTGTTTCCTCTTATCCCCCGTTTCCCCCGTCTTCTTCCCCCGTTTCCCCCTTCTTCTCCCCTGTTCCCGGTCGTGCAGCGCACCGTCCTCGCCCCCCGTCGCAGCCATGAGTCCGGCGAAGTCGAGCGATGCTGGCAGCGGCGCCCAGCCGTCCACTGGCGAGATGTGCGGGAGCTCGAACCCTATGAAGGCGACGGCAGAAGAAGAGGAGGAGGAGGACTCGTAGTACTCGGTGGAATTCAGGGCGGCCAGATCTTTCGTCGCGGCGGTGAAGGCAAATCCAGTTGGAAGCCAGCACATTGCTTCAGCTTTCGGCGACGTCTAGTGAGATCCCAGTCCCATTCCCCTCCCCAATCACATTCTCCTTCTGTTGCTAGGGTTAGGGTTAATGTAGTTCTAGGGTTTGTGTGTGTTATAGTTCTGTAATTAGAATGATATAGTTCTTTAATTAGATGCTTACAACTAGGGTTTCTGCAAATAAAAGGATATGAATTGTTGCACTCAAATGATGTTCCGCTCTGGTCTGCACTAGCTTGCTTCAGTTTCCCTTAAGTACTTATAGTGCACTATTGTATTATTATTTGCAGTCTTGAAGATGAGGTTTGGGAATTGAGGATGCATTTTCATGATAGAGATAATATTGAAAGGAGTATGATGATGTCAGACATCATATATTACAATTTGGTAGCACTGATGGAGACGGAAGGGTATGGTTTTAGAGATTATATGTATTATGTGAGGGACCCTGGGCTAGGGATTGAAGGAATGGAAGAAATAGATGATGATGATAAGTTAGAGGAAATTTTAGACCACGTAGCAGAGCAGAATAACAAGATATTGAATGTGACAATAGTTAGGGCCAGTGCAGAGAAAGTTCCCAATATAAATACCAGTGTTAATGTCATTGAGATGCAGACCCCAATAGAACAAATTGGAGAGCCCAAACTGTATCAGATTGATGATGAAGGAGTGTTGTTCAATGCTGAAAATGTGCATGTAGAAGCTGAGAGTTGTGATGCGGGAGGAGAACAAGAGCCAATGCCCTTGCAGTTTGACACACAGCAGAGCAGAATAAATGTGAGCCTGGAATCTGCTTTAGGTGATGCAGTAGTGGAAGAATACCATGTGACTGACAATTCAGAGGAGCAACTGTTAATAGAGCAAGAAATGGAGGAGAAAAGGAGAAATGAAATTGAAATGTTTAGGAACAACAAGAAGGAAAGAGTGAATGAGACTTGTTTGAACAAGAAGGAAAGAGTGAAGGAGACTTGTTTGAACAGGAAAGCAGCAGTGATGGACAATGAAGAGGATAGTGATGATGATGATCTAGTAAAATATGGTGATATCTTAGCTAGGCTTGAGGAGATGAGAAGACAGAGGAATGACCCAGAACTTCATTTTGAAGGGGACACGGATGTTGAGGAAATGTGTGACTCAGAGGTGGATGATGAGCTGTATGTGCCACAAGGTGAAGAAGAGGATGTAGAGGAGGAAGAGGAGGAGGAATTGGAGGAAGAGGAACAAGAGGATGAGCTAGGGCAAGGTGTACCAAACAAGAGAAGGGCCAAGAGACAAAGAAAAGGCCCAACAAGCAATTCACATGGGAGTATAGAACACATGTTTGAGGAGGACTGGATTTCATCATTTGATGAGGACAAGAAACCACAAGACCTTGGTGTGGAAGATGATGATGGTGTTGAGGCATTGGCATATGTGTTGCCCAATGGTAGAAAAAGCAGAGCAAAGAAGATGAAGAAGAGGTTATGGTTTGATGAGCACAGAGCTCATCCAGAGGAGCAATTTGTGAAGCATATTTGCTTCTTAAATGTGTACCAGTTTAGAACTGCACTTCAAACCCTGCACATTGCTCAAAACAGGAACTTTGTCTACCACAGAAACTGCGGTGATAGGGTGATAGCACAGTGCATAGATGAGCAATGTCCCTTCTATATAGCAGCTTCTCAGATTGCAAATGAGAAGTCATTTACAATTAGGAAGGTGTATTTAGTGCACACATGCCCTTCTATGTCAGAGAACACTAAAGTCACTGCTAAGTGGGTTTCAAAATTTTGTGAGGAGGCTATCAGAAATGACCCATGCACAACAATCACAAGTATTATTAATACTGCAAAGAGCAAGTATGGTGTGGACATATCAACACACATGGCATACAGGGCAAAGAGGGCAGCAAAGGCTGTTGTGTTAGGAGACCAGAAAGCCCAGTACACCAGGATTAGGGATTATTTACAGGCTGTGTTGGATACAAATCCAGGTTCAAGATGCATTGTGACAATAAGATATCTGAAGGAGCATCCAAGCACTAACCCTAGGTTTCATGCACTGTTCATATGCTTGAATGGATGCAAAGAAGGGTTTCTCAATGGCTGCAGACCATTCATAGGTAAGTCAATAATATTTGTGCTAAGTGCTACTAATGTTTGATTTCATGTGCTAATCAATTGTGATTTCATTTATTTGTTGTAGGTCTGGATGGTTGTTTCATCAAGCTCACTACTGGTCAACAAATTCTAGCTGCAACTGGAAGAGATGGGAACAATAATATTTTCCCCATTGCCTTTGGAATTGTTGATAAGGAGGACACTAACTCCTGGACCTGTTTTTTATACCAGTTGAGACAAGCATTAGGTGG